AACAGATTATCTTGATTTATTGGTCTAATCTTTATATACATCTCCAAAAGATTTATATCAATCTTGTTCAAAAATTTCTGAGGAATGGCAAAAAATTGTACCAAAGATTGGTCATTCTCAATTTTGAACTCAATAAATCTTATAACGTTACCTTGAAATGAGCATGGATATTTTCCAGAAATATCCAATTGAATATTTTCTCCATCAGTCCCCATTTTCTCATGCAACAATTTAATTAATTCAACATAGTTGGTCGAAATAGACATGCTAACAATCATTCTGGCACATTCGTTATATCGAAATCCGCTCATTTCAGTGATTATTTCACCGCCCCAATACAAAGCAATCATCACGTTATCTTCAAAATTAGCCATCAAAAAATCTTACACACAAAAATAAGATGCATTATAGTTATTAAAAATATGTTATAAGTACATTACAATATATTGACAAGCCATACCTATTGAAATTTTGAGTATTAATTCAACAATAGGGCATATACGCAGAAGCTTTGTAGAACATTATTTGAATGTGCTAAACATTCTACACAACCATTTCTTATAATGTTCTGTGGCCAACACTTTAAGAATTTATTTTAAAGTTAAAACGTAACATACAGTAACGTTTTATTGGACGATCAAATCAGCAAGAAATCTTCACATACCCGTGACATGATAGAATCGTTACTCATGGTAACATTTTAGTCTTAAAACGTGACTCAGAATAACGATTTAACGTCACATTTTGTACAAAGATTCTCAGGTGGAAGACCTGTGATTTGATTTGATATAATCGTTACTCCAAGTAACGTTTTATATGTAAAACGTGACTCCCAGTAACGTCTTCGACGTCAAATTTCGTATAGAGATTCTAAGGTGGCAGGTGGCAGATTTACAAAGATACGTTACTGACGGTAACGTCTTAAGCTTAAAATGTTACTGTCAGTAATGTCTTAAGCTTAAAATGTTACTGTCAGTAACGTAATGCTTCTTAACGCCGTCTACCAAATACTTTTAGTCTGTTTATTTTTTGAAAATGAAATATAGCCTAATACGTTACTACCAACAACGTTTATACTAGTTTTGTAAAATTTCTAAGTTTCATATTATTTTGGTGAATTAAATGAAATAATAGATTATTTTGGTCATTCTTTCGCTTACTGAAGTTGTTTGCCTATTATATTGCATTTGACCTACTAATTGCATTGCTTACTATATTGCATTTGTCCTACTATATTACATAGTTTTCCTACTGAAAATTGTATATGACCTAGTAAAATTGTTTGCCTATTATATTGCATTTAGCCTACTGAAATTGCTTGTCTACTATATTGTATTGTCTAATACATTACATTTGTCCTAATTGCATTTGATGTATTATATCATATTGTTCATTACTTGCAAGACCTACTAAAAATTTATATTTGTCTACTAAAAATTGCATTGCCTACTCAATAAGCATTGTATGACGAAATTTTGCATTGCCTATTGATAATACATTTGCATTGTCTATAAATTAATTTGCCTACAAAATATATTTGTTGCTTACTATATTGCATTGTCTATCAAAATTTTTATATTTTATCTACTATATTGCTCTGCCTACTGAAAATTACATTTTTGCTTAATATATAGTCTTTCCTATTAAAATTATATTTAAGCTATTAAGTTGTATCGCCTATTGCAATTTACATTGCTTACTGAAATTACATTTGACACGCTAAAATGCATTTGACATATTAAAATTATGTTGCCTGCTATATTACATTTGACCTACTATATTGTATTGTCTATCGAAATTTGAATTGCCTACTAATTGCATGACTTACTAAATTGTGTTCCTTGCTGTTGAACCTAATATAGTTTTATTTTAAGTACTTAACTAAGCTAACATTTAATAGTTAATTATGTAACATCACCATAGTTTAAATTAATTATGAAAAAATGGTTATTGTTTTAAAAAAAAAAGGCTAAATCGAGTCCCCTTTTTTTGTATCAAAACGTGTAGAATTCTTTTTCCCTTTCTATACAAATCAACACACAATCTCTTTACCACACCCACTTAATTACCTCCTTAAATCTCTAAATTCCACATAAATCACTTAACCGAATAAAAAATAATCCTTTTTACTCATTTTCTCCTTAGTTCACTCAAACACATCAGGTTTTAAATTTCAAAAGTTTTGTGTTTTTTTCTACAATTTAGTAAAAAAAATTCAACCCTTTCAACTTTGTTCGACGATAGTGCTGATGCAATTTTCGAAAATTCAAGAATAGCAAGTAAATAAAAACAATTTTATTTTTTTTCCCAAGAAGTTATTATGCAAATCAGAATAGTCAAGCATGAACTATCGGGAACCTTAAGAAATTCGACGGTAAAACAGAAAGAAGTTCAATTCAGTATCTTACTCTGTTTGTAAATTGAATAAAGATGATGAATTTGAGTGAATGGATCAAGACTATGATGAAGAAATTGAGGAATTTTGTATAATTTATTTTGTACTTTTATCGTGATTTGTATTTCTAATACATTTCATATTATATTGTATGCGATTCTATGGATTTAGCGTAACAATGTTTCTTACAATTTTTATACTTTTTAGATCTTATTTACATAGATTCAACAATAATATATAATTTTTTAATTTTTGTATTTGTAAATCATCAGCAAGTATACGCTCCAACTATTATTTATATAATCTCAGCATTATTGTGGAAATTTTATACTAATTTATTTTGTATATTTTTTATGATTTATATTTCCATTAATACCATTATACTATACACGATTCTATGAATTTGGCGTAATAATGTTTATTGCGACTTTCTTACCTTTTTAAATCTTATTTTTAGTCATTTTTTATGTTTATTTAGGAAGTTAAATTTATCTTTCTTTGTTTGTTAGAAGTCATATTTGATAAGAAAGATTTGTGAAATTATATTCCTTTTAATAATCTAAATTTCCCCTCATTAAATAAGGGAAAAATTACATGAATTAATATATTTTAAAAAATAGTTACTGATTTTAGCGATATTTTTTTAGTTACCATAGCAATATTGTGATAAATCTGTAATATGTATTAAAAGTGAATTATGTGTGCAATATATTTGAATTATAATTGTTTTTGAAATATCTTATGTTTGGTAAAAGTTTGTCAAATTGTATTATAAGTGTATTAAAATGTGTGATAAATACATTATCCATCATTAAAACTTGTATTATATGTGAATAATAAATTGTTCTTTGTAATATGTATTAAACTTATATTATAAATGAATTAAAAGTGATCAAGTAATGGTAAATATTTTTTTTATTATAGTATATTTATGTAAGTTTCCCTTAAATAAGTTAAGAGCCCAATTTGTATATTTAAAAAAATATATACAACAGTTATTGGAACTATAACTACGCTATGTAACAAACTATAGCTAAGGAGACTAATTATGTTTCAACTCTTAACTATATATGAAAATTTCCCTTTCAAATTAATAACTCTCAAAATTAAGATAATTATTTTAAAACTTAAATTACTCCAAGGTATATATTACCTTGGACGTGAGAAACAAATCATTTGGTTGAAAACAAGTTATTTCATGAT